AAAGAAGTTGATTATTTAAGGAGAGGTATTCATAAAACATGGATTATAGAAAGGTTGACTCTCTAGGTAGAGGATGATTTTCCTCTACCTACACATCAAAAGAGTATAATTTTGCTGGGTTTGGTTTTTTTTTTTTTTCCTTTTCTTTTCCTTTCTTCTGTCTGACTATATGCTGTCTCCTTATATGTCTCTGTCTACAGAACAGCATAAATGAGTATTTTTTAGTGAAATGGTTGTAAGAAATTGAGCATGTTCTTCTGGGCTGACACAGCTGTTTGCATATCTGTCTGCCTTTAGGTTTATTCCTTTTTCAAAAAAAAAAAAAATTATGTTACCAAGGCTTATTTCCCTTTACATACATTCCTGAGACCAACTCTTCTGTTCCTTGGCATGTTTTTGTTCAAGTGCCAAAAATCAAAATCTTTCTTTTGTGAATTAGTTGTTATTATGCTCAGGTCAATTTAGTCTTCCAGCAATCTCCACCATCACCTGCAGGCTGGTGTAAGTACCCACAGCCTGGAGTCAGAGCTGGCTGGGTGAATTCTACTCTTAACTAGAAAACATAAATCTATTTATGCAATGTCCTGGATAAGAAATTTATTTATTTAGTCTCACCACTTGTAGGCTGCCTATAAATTTTTCAGTTCATAGACAGCTTGGAGCCCACATACATATGACTGTAATGAGCTCTGTAGTTGTACCTCCAGAGTAATGCCCTCACAGGTTGTTCTGTTGCCAACTGATTAGATTACCACAATAATATTATCTTCCAATCAGAGCTCTCATACAGACAAGTCTGGACATTGAGTGCTTTCCTGAGATCTAGATAAGCTCATCAGAAACCTTATTCATCCAGTACATTTTGCAGTACATATTAATGTAGACATCACTGAGAAAACACAGCAGTCCTATTTATGTGATGCATTTTTTTTACTGAGTGATGACGACAAAAGAATTCCGATTCATGCAATGTCCAGGATACTGAGAATCTGGCCTATCTACTTAAAGGATTAACTTTTTAGAACAACATCAAATACAGTAGTTTTACTGTGGTCAGATAATTTGGCTGCATAAGCCAGCTTAAAGTGATTAAGTGTTTCCCTTCATCTTGTGCCACTTCTCTCTCCAAACTCCATCTGTCCTGAATGACAATCCACCAACTGGACATGGCAAATCCAAGGTCTTCTTTCCCATTCATACTGAAATAACTATTCAGTCTCTGAATGCATTAGATATACGCCTACTGTAATAACAACATACATAAAATAATAATTTATTTTTCTACATTTCAGTACTTGTTATAAATATTTTATTTCTACTTTTCCAACCTAATTTGCAATTCACATATATTTCCTCATATTTCTGTCATATTTCCTTTTTACAGCCATAAGCCATATTTCTATTTTATCATTTCCTTTTAACTACTCTGGAAGACCTTTCTATATTTCAATTACCTGCAGACTCACAGTCCTGCATCATAATCTTAAAATCAAAACTGAAGTATTGATGTACTCCTCTGCATGTTAATTTTGATTATTATTAGAATATTATCAGAATATAAGTCTGTAGGTATCTTCTGAAGTTTCCTTGATACATCAAGGCTCTCATCTTTCATCTAGTGAAGGTAATGACTGATCAAAAGCCATACTGAACCCCCTGTAAGCATACACTTTGGTGTAATGAAAAATATACTTGCAGCTCTTCACAGATTTTTTCCTAACACTGTTCTGGTGTCAAATTAGATTTGACTTATACACATCCTGTTATTAATCCGAGAAAGTTTCCATTACAACTGAAGTATGCTGTCCTTTTCTGACTTCCATTTTTCTACTTAGCTATGTTATTTGGTAAGGAAGAGGTTCTTAGGAAGTTGTAATGATCTGCAAGGTTTTTTATACTGTTCTTTTTGTTTCTCCTACTACTGCTGGCAACAATGTGCAAACCTTAGTACCATTGCACTTCCCATAACGAGGTCTATTTTTATGTTTGAAATATGGAAACAAAGTGGTCTTCAACTAATTATATGAGGTCATATAATATAGACATGGAACCCCATGTATCTGAAAAGTTTTGTGTTTTAACAATTATGGAAGTAGTTGAACTCTATAGAACTATTACTAAAATCTTGGTAAAACAATAACTGACAATTTTCTAAGTAGCTTCTTATTTATTTTTAGAGGGAAAATATTATTGCTGACATATTGATTATCATTATAACAAAATTCAGTTCTATCCAGAAAGGACTTTAGGTCCTGTGCCCAGAAATGTAGCATTAAGGGATGAAAGAGAATAAGCCAGCATTTAAGAAAGTAATAGGGAACAAAACAAATTAGTTCTCCATAAAAGGGAGTAATATTTTCCAAACAATTTAGACTGGGTTATTTAGAAAAAGTGACACATCTTATTTGCTATATCTAGAAAACATAATTGAATTTGACTGCAAAGCAGCGATAGTTTCTGATGGAAGACTTATTTAATTTCCAAATCCATTTTTACTTTGACTTTTTTTAAACATGATTAATAAACATGAAAAGCCACATATAAAAGTGCACCTGATTTAGCAGTCATGTAAAACCTGTAGCAAAACAAGTTACAGTATAACTTTTATGCATCTCAGAAAAAGCATCAAAAATGAAATCGTGGTTAAATAAAGAACGCTATAGAAAAATGATGGAGACGTATAGATCAGAGGAACATATAGGAGACAATATAAGAATTAAATTGCTGTCTCTTCTCCTTCAAAAACTATAGACAGAGAAGGAAACTGTGATACTACAGATGCTGTCCATTCACTAGGATAGAGTGAATAAAAGGGATGGAGAAAGGTTTAACCATCTGCAGAAAGGAACCTGTGAGCCCACCAGAAAATCAGCTCCTTGTTCCTGCTTATTTCCCAGTTCTTCAATAGTATGTTCAATTCAAGCCTTTCTCTTTGCTCCCTACAAAGCTCTGTGATACACATTGAACTTGGTATCAGGAAGCATCTCTGTTCAAAGGGGCGATAGTCAGCTGCAATTCTAACAGGTGTGCTAATAAAGCAAAAAGTTAAATCTTTTTTCTTCTTTCCGTGAATAATAAAGTAAAAAAGAGCTAACACAGTTAAACAAAAAAACTAAAGTTACAATGGAAGTAGTAATAAGTATTTTAAATTAAATCAGCCAACTGCCTAATTTAAAGTGACAGACTCTTAATAGGGAAATAGTACTATTGATTCCATATATTTCTTATCTGGTAAATATATTGATATCTGGATATCTGGATTACTACACTCCTTCTACTATACCTTTCTCCCTAAAATAGGCTATCTATATAAAAATTTACAAATAAAAATGTTATAAAAATAATCAGTGAGAAGCTCTCCACTTAATCTAACAAGTTTTTATTAATCAAAAATTTCTTAGACTGTCCTACAATAATTTTTTTAAAAAAATATGTTTATTCTTCTAAAATGAGATAAAGTCATATACAATGCCATAAAAGTTTAAAAATGCCCATGAAATGGCCATACTTTAGAAAATTATTACCAAAACGAATCATTTATTGGACCTCTTCACAGTTAAGTGTTTCCAAAGAGGTGCAATAATCTCTACAGAAGAAAATAAAATCATTTCATTGTAGTACCACACTTAAATAACTACTTGTGAGAGTTTTATTTCCAAATAAGCACAGCTTATACTTGCTTTTTGATATTCAATTTTTGTTTTATTTGTTCTTTAATGATTCCTTTCCTACATTCACCCCAAAGGCACCATGATAATCACAACACACAACTGAGAAAAATAAACTAAAGAAAAAAATTCTGATTGATGTTTGACATTATGATGTCCTGCCTGGTTTCATCAGCCATATCATATCATGTGAAGTAATGCAGTCTGATTGATGCAGCTCATAGGGACTCACAATTTTTCACGTGTTTGCTGGAGAATTTAAAGGTATCACAGAATCTCTGGACAATAATAGTACTCATAGTGCAAAACGTTTGATTAAAAAATAATTACCATGACATCTAAAACTTTTCTCAGTGGCAGGAAATCTAATTCTTAGTGCCATTTGTAAGATGTTTTTTCAACTTTTGATATATACGTTGAAATCTCTTGAGTTAATTTTATATTTAAGATTAAATTTACCAGCATTTAATATTATGACTGAGTTCGAACCTTAGCAGGATTCAGTATGATTCTTATTTTTTACAGTACATCCTAGGGATGGATGAACAGCTGACTGCCCATGGAAAGAAGTGAATGATTTCCTTCTTTCACTTTGCTTGCACACATAACTTTTGCTTTACCAGTTGCTGAACTGTCTTTATCCTAACCTATAAGTATTTTTAATTTCACTCTTACAGTTCTCTCCCCCATCCCCACTAGTGAGGGAGTGAGTGGCTATGCGAGGCTTAGTTGCCAGCTGGGGTGAATCCATAACAGTAATATCAAATTAGTTACTTATATATATATATATATATATATATATATATATATATATATATATATATTTACCTAGCACTGACATCTATTTTTTTTTACTTTCTTACTTTCTTGAACAAATGGTCAAGTTAAAACAAGATTTCTATTTACAATGGTTCAGCTGAGCCTCATGAAGTAAAGCAGAGTACATACTGTTAATTTATCTGGAAGTTTGACTTGATACTCTGCATACAATATAAACAAAGGTCATAGTATATGACAATAGTTTTTATTAAACAAATGGCATAGGTACTACAAAACAATGCTTAATGGTAACATATAAAAACCAAATCACAATGGTAAGTGTGATTTGTACCACAGTTGATCCCACAGAGTTTAAATTCATATCTGCCTTTAGAGGAATTGATTTTTAGATTATGCAGCATCTTTTCCTTGGTCAAGCAATTACTGATGCTGAGAAGAATTTTTCCTCTACAAGGAATTAAAATTTTGTAGAAGATTAGTTGTCTAATGATTACTAAAAATATTAAAAAATATAATATTTACATCCATTTAGACACTTCATCGTTACCATACCTGTTACTTTCAGTCTGTCAGCTCCAATGACAATCTCATCTTCATCTGCAGAAAACAATACTCTTCCACCTTCACTTGCCCTCACTTCAAATCTCTTACACTGAGCCTCCACAGCATCAGCTCCTGAAATCAAGTAAGTAATTGTTTCATCTAAGATATTTTGTAAGAATTAAAGTAAACATCAGCATACCTGGAATATCCAAAACATATCGACTCCATGAGGTTTTGACAAAATACTGGGCTTTCTGTAAGCCTGACATATAATCTGTATACTGTTAAAATAATTTGCAGAGTAACTCTTTCACTATTTCATATCAGGATAGAATTTAAAGTAATTATGAAAAACACTTATTTCAGAGTTTTGTGGAATTCTAGAACACTAGAATTTAGAATGTACTTAAACACTGAGATCTGGCAATGCTAATTTAGACAGAGTTTTCTGGGATTTGTTCAATTTAAATTGCAGTGTCTTGTCAATGGAGTTTATTCCATAAAAACAAACAAATCAACACAGCAGAAAAAAGTATTTTTCATTCAGCTCTGCTCAAACTTAAACAGTGGAATAACAAAAGAAAACAAAAAAATCAAGATAACAAAAAAGATGAACTATCACAATTTATGTAATATTTTATGAAACAATATTCCCAAATATCTCAAAGAGCAAAAACCCTAAAGCAACTCTGAATTAGACAGACATATAGAATTGTTCTAACTCCAACAAAAAATAAAAAAGTTTGCAGATACCAAAGCTCTTTTAAATTTACTATGCTTTTAAATCTATTGGTCTTATCCTTACTCTTCAGTGTTTTGTCTACTAAATTCTTCCTGAAAAGCAATGAACTGCATATGGCACAACCAGATGTAAGGCAAGATACAAGGTTTCTGATTACCTGAAATTTTCTCACTGATCCCTAATTGGATTTGTAATGTACACCTGGAAGCAATCTTTATGGGGAAGGCATTATGGACAAAGAAAACCATGTATGTTATTTCAGTTTAACAATCTGGTTTATAGGTTTGTCAATTCTCCTGCTTCTCAAATATAGAACTTTTCAAGTTAATATGCAAATGCACATCATCAAAATATGTAATAAAATTATAAAAGGTGTAATAGACAATTTTGGAGAAGGAATTGCCATATCAGCCCTTAGTTTGCAGAATCAGCTAAGAATTCAAAACAGCAATTCCTCTTACTTTCATATGACCTTATGTTCGTACTATAAAAAAAATTCTGGCTATCATTAATTTATGAAAGTAAAAAGAAAATGAAAAGGAACTATAAAAATACTTGTGATGTTCCATTTTGTTGATATTAGACAGGTTTATTCTGTGGTAAGTGTGTAAATTGGTATTCCCCTCCCCCCAATTATACTTTTTTAAAAATGTGATACACAGGTTGTTGGCTTTATTTTTTGTATTTTGAGAAAATACAAAATTTTTGTAAAGACAGTCGGGGCAAATTTCAGATAATCTTATGTCAGCCATGGGATAAATGCTACACCTTAGAACCTTCCAGAATGCTTACAAATAAAAAGATATAATGAAATCTAATAGTCCCTCAGGTAAACATATCACAATATATATTCATAAATATCTGTCTTACAGAATTCATCCATTACTCTTAAATATCTTCCAAAGATCAGTGATGATGTCATTGATAGGGGTGCCCCCTAGGCACATTTGAATTATTTGTTTAAAATGCAATCATTTAGCATGTTAACAATAAAGTTTAGCAGGATACTCTATTCCCTTGCACTGTGTCACAGGTAAAGATATCTTTTAAAAAAATATTAAAAACATATTCATATTTACTTTTGAGTGCTTATTTTATGAAATCCAGTGAGAAGAGGCTTTAACAGACCTCTGGTGAGTTCAATGGGCTGTTGTGTATCTGTCCAGCAACAGAAACACAAGAGGAAATTAAAAGGTCAATTTATCATTTTTTTCAATTTTACTCCTTAGTTTGCATATAAGTTAAGCTTATATGTTTTTCTGCAAAATAATTAAATTAAAAAATAAACCATGCTGTTGTTGACTATCCAGTTACTTTATGAAATTGGGACAAACACATAACTCAAGTTACTCTAAGAACTGCAATAAATTACTATATTACTATTTAATTCATTTAAAAGAGGGAGAAATTATAATAAATTATAGACTTTTAAAAGTACTTGTAGAAATTACAGATGCCCTTTTATAGATGACTTCTGAAGGTTATGTGATCCACTGATAATTTCCACATGGCTATGATATAATGCTCAAAATGATATATGATAGTCATGAGCATACACTATTCACAACAGTAAAACCAAGTTGTAATCCTCTTTAAATAGCACTGAACAAAAATACTTATTCCAGAATGCTTCTCATGGGTCAGAATGGGAAGATGAGCAGAGGTTAAAAACTTAAATGTTTTCTTGTTGAATATAAGTGCTTCCAGAAACGTCATGACCTCATGGTTCAAAGGAAGATATTCAAGATACCATCAGAGTTGAAGCTAATATTACTTATGGCAAAATAAGTGCATCTTAATATTTGAAATAAGAATGCATGCTGGTATTTAACCACTTATTTATAACTGGAATGACATTTGTGCCCTCTCTTTGTACCATTGATATTTTACCACTGTGTCCTTTGGAGGGAGAAAAAAAAAAGAGCCTGTTACTCAGTTGTTCATGTTGCCCTAATAAAATCATAGACTTAAAGGTTCAAAATCAAATAGCATAAACATTTACATTTTACATAAGCCTTTTTACAATGCCTAGCTTTTATTATTCGCTATATATTTTCTTACTGCTTCTGTTGAATTTTTTTCAGAATTTCAATAAGTTCTGATATTATGAAAACATTCAACTTTTGATATATTTTTTGAATAGTATTTGCTTTTGGTTTGGAAATACTTGTTCTTAATTTTGAAATATTTAAAAGGCATACAATTAAAATGCATTAATTTAATACAAAATTTATGAAAGCCATACTAAAAATTACCCAAAATATATCACTTTGGGGAAAAATCAGAAGCAATCATTTTTTCTGATTTAGTAGAAAGTTTGATTTCAAAATCTCAAAGCTCTTCTGGAATTGTATGTTTCTTTTTCTGCACAAGTTTAGTTTTCAGTCATTTTCTAAATTTCATTCTGCTCTAAGATAGGCCTTAAAATACACTGTATTGCAATTCACAAGGGCTGCATTTTGAACCATTATTGAAAAGCATAGGTAAGAATTCTGTTGTAGAAGCAAATTTCAAAATGCTCCACTCAACTCATAAGGAAAAAAAAAAGATACAATACAACCAGGGTCTATTATCATGGTCCAGGAGACTGGTTTTTTAACAGTGATGGGCTGTAAAGCAAGGAGTCCACAGTGCACTGCCTGCCTGACAAGAGCAGCAGAATCATGCAGCAACAGGAATATAAATACGAAAAAGCATGGAAGCTGTGGTTGGTTTGACCCTCTCTGGATGCCAAGCGCTCATCAAAACTGCTCTATCATTCCCCTCCTCAACCGGACAGGGAGAGTATGACTCATGAGATCAGGTAAGGACAGCGAGAGATCACTCACCACCTACTGTTAAGGGCAAAAACAGACCCAACTGAGAGAAATTAATAGAATTTATTACCAATCAGAGCAGAATTATAAGAAGTAAACCAAATCTTTAAAACACATTCCCTGCACATCTCCCTCCTTCCTGGGCTTAACTTCATTCCCAGTTCTCTACTTCATCCCCTATAGCAGTGCAAGGAGACAGGGAATTAGGGTTATGTCCAATTCATTACATGTTATTTCTGCTGCTTCTTCCTCCCCAGAGAGAAGAGTCCTAACCCTGCTCCAGCATGGGATCCCTCCTATGGGAGACAATCCTCCACAAACTTCTCCAACCTAAGTCCTTCCCATGGGCTGCACTTCTTCACAAACTGCTCCAGTGTGGGTCCCTCCCATGGCGTACAGTCCTTCAGGAACAGGTTGCTCCGGCACGGGTCTCCCATGAAGTCAAAAGTCCTACCAGTAAACATGCTCTAGCATGGGCTCCTCTCTCCACAAGTCCTGCCAGGATCCTGCTCCAGCACAGGCTTCCCACGGGGTCACAGCCTTCTTTTGGGCATCCACCTGCTCTGACATGGGGTCTTTCATGGTCTGCAGATGGATCTCTGCTACCACATGGACCTCCATGGGCTGCAGGGGGACAGCCTGCTTCACCAGTCTTCACCACAGTCTTCAGAGAAATCTCAACTCCGGAGGCTGGAACACCTCCTGCCCCTCCTTCTGCACTGACCTTGGTGCTGCAGAGCTCTTTCTCTCTTCTCTGGTCACAAATATTTCTCTGCAATAACTTTTTTTTTCCTTCTTATATATGTTATCAGAGAGATGTTACTACCATCCCTGACTGGCTTGGCCATGGCCAGCAATGGGTCCATCTTTAAGCTGGCTGGCAATCTTCCCACTCAAACCAAATACAGAATGTTAGAGATATACTTGTCCTGCAGCCATACTTATGGTTCAGGAAACCAAAGGATAATCTCAAATAACTTAATACTTAATAGTTTTATCTTTATTTAAGAGCTGATGACTGCTTAGGTACCTAAAAGTAAGTAGGCATTGTAAGTACTGTATGCTGCTAATTTACACCCATTAATGTTGTTGCTCTTAACAGAAAATGTGTCAGAAATCAAAAAGAGAAAAGACCTGCCACATTATTACTCCTTATATATCACCGCAAATGACAGCCTGTGTTTTGATATCTCCTTTTTAAAGCTTGCAATGTATTTAGGGTAATATAGGCTTTCGTGAAGAATGACTTAAAGAACGATAATCTGTAGCTTCCACAAAGAAATGCATATGTTTCAAATGTTCAGCATTTGTGCTGCTTCAGCAACACATTATATAAAAGTACACCTAGAATTCAGCTAGGCCAAAATAACATTACAGGACGTAATTTTTTTTTTTTTTTTTAATGCTAAAATAAATGGGCTTTTACTTTATGTTGCACTCAGGACTTAACAGCGCATCACTCGGTATTACTTACTGCTGCAACAGTGGTAAGTGTATTCAAGTCACTTGAGAGATTACTAACAAAACATAATGCATGTTAAATCTGTCTCTTTGATGTAGAACCAGATGTGAAT